AATATCCCTGTACCTACACAATATATTTAATATACCTGTACATACACAATATATTTAATATCCCTGTACCTACACAATATATTTAATATACCTGTACCTACATAACATATTTTATGTCATTTTGCCTAACTTAATATCACTAATATTTTAATGTACAATTTCTAAATTTCCCCCATTTTTTTCTAAATAACCCTTAGGGATTATTTAGAAAAATAAGATTCACCTTAATTCCATGCATTTAAGAAAATATTGTTTTGATTGCGCACCTACACAATATATTTAATATCCCTGTACCTACACAATATATTTAATATCCTTGTACCTACAGAAATATATTTCTAGAAAAAAATATCCCTATTTCTACACAAATATATTTCTAGAAAAAAATATCCCTGTTCCTACACAAATATATTTCTAGAAAAAAAACCCTGTACCTACTCAAATATATTTCTAGAAAAAAATATCCCTGTACCTACGCAAATATATTTCTAGAGTGTACCTACGCAAATATATCTCTGGATAAAAATATCCCTGCTCCTACACAAATATATTTCTTGAAAAAAATATCCCTGCTCCTACACAAATATATTTCTTGAAAAAAATATCCCTGCTCCTACACAAATATATTTCTAGAAAAAAATATCCCTGTGCTTACGCAAATATATCTCTAGATAAAAAATATCCTTGTACCTACGCAAATATATTTCTAGATAAAAAAATATCCGTGTACCTAAGCAAATATATCTCTAGATAAAAAATATCCTTATATCTACGCAAATATATTTCTAGAAAAAAATATCCGTGTACCTACGCAAATATATCTCTAGATAAAAAATATCCTGATACCTACGCAAATATATTTGTAGAACAAATATCCGTGTACCTACGCAAATATATCTCCAGATAAAAAATATCCTTGTACCTACGTCGTAGAGTTTTTTTTATATTTCTGTTATAAATTCCATTTACTCTTTTAAAATCTTTAAACAAATATTTTAAAAATTAGATTTTTTAAGCTTTTTTATGTTTTTAAATTGTTTTTTAATCTTTTTCACAAATTTTTAATGATTGTTACATTACAAGTTTAAAAATATTAATGAGGGCATTTTAATGTCGAAATAAAATTGGTTCCATTTTTTCAAATTTAATATAAATAATTTCAAGCAGACCCAAAAGATCAACTATTTATAGAAAAATATGGGATAAAAATAAAGGTATTCTTTTCAAGCCCCCTCTGCCCCCTCTAAAATGTTGAAATAAACTCTTAAAAGAAAATCTGAAAGAACCTGTAAAATCTTTCCCTGGGATGTTTAGAAAGATGAAAATTTCCCTGTATGATAATTGAAGGACTGCAGTATGGTTTTGGTGAAAATTATATTGGTGTACTAAGCCTAGGGGTGTTAGAAATGATTTCTTTTGCATATTTTTAAAAACTTATATAAAACTTTTAAAGTTTAATTTTTGATATATTTGATATATATAGAACTTATATAGAAGCTTTTCTGGGTTACACTTTACTCTAGTTTTGCATTATTTTCATTTGTGTTAAACAGTATAAAAGAGATTATGTTTATATGGTTTAAAACTAAACAGCTGGTGATTCATTGGAGGGAAGAATGGCAAAAACACCAATTTGAAATTCCCAAATCTTTTTATGGAAAGTGATGATAACAGGGTATACAGAGTGCTTCAGGGTACAGGGTACTACAATGTACTGCATTAAACTTTTTTAGGTTTATGGGACGTTTTCAAAAAAATGCAAAAAATCATTTCTGACACCCCTAGGCTTAGTACGTCAATATGATTCACCAAATCCATACTGCAATCCTTCAATTATCATACAGGGAAATTTTCATCTTTCTAAACATCCCAGGGAAAGATTTTACAGGTTCTTTTTCTCTTTTTTTGCAACGAGACCCTAAAATTGTGGATCAGTAAGACGACTATTAGACTCAAATTATGACTTTTGCTAGATGAAATACACATAAGATAGATTGAATGTCGTCTTCCTATTTCACTGTATGAATGTCGTGTTCCTATTCCACTGTACGAAGATCCTACCCAACATGAGGTTGCCGAATCTTCTTGTTCTGTATAGAGGACCGGCCCGGCATATCAGGCTCAGACATAAACCCTCCATCCCTTAAATATAGAAATTAAAATTTTTAACAATCAACATGATTCCAGTGATTCTCCTTATAGCGGGATGTTTAGTAAAATAACATCCTGCTTTGCGAAGTTTTCGTGAAAAAAAATCATCTGAAAAAACGATAATATTGTGGAAACTACTTTTCGCGAAATCAAAACTTAAGTTAACCTCGGGTTCCTTCGACCAATTTTGCCTACAAATCATCCCTCGCTAATCTGGATGTTTTGCGGGCAAAATTGGTTTTGAGAACCATTGAGATGAGCAAGCTTTATTTATATTGCATATGCCAGTATCTATTAAAAACTTTTTGTTTTCCAAATAAATTGAAAAATTTCAGAGTTTCATTATTTCATTTTTAGAATTTTTAACTTTAAATTGAAATTTAAATACTATTTGTAGTCACGCAAAATACAGTTTACACCAAACCAAACCAAAATACAGTTTACACCAAACCAAACCAAAATACAGTTTACACCAAACCAAACCAAAATGAAAAACAAATTGTAAGTTTTTCAAAATGTGATCTTCCTCTTAAACAAATATTAAAATATTTGGTTTTTTAAAATTACGTTATATAGATGAAATCAAATAAGGCCTGTTTTTTTAAATCTTTTGCGTGTGTTGTCTACCTGTCGGAGTCGTATGATCCTCCTCTTGAGCTCCGACCTCGCCTCGAGACCTCCGGAGAGGTCAAGGGAGACTCCGATGGGTTTACAGGGGTTAACATTTTCTTCAAGGTTCCGGAGTCAAAATGGCAGCTTTTCCCCTGAACAAGTTTTTATAAAATTTGTATTTGCGCATTTTTACAATGCATAATCACTAGAAACTCTGGCTCGTACCGTACCGACTTTTAAGCAGTTAAGGCAAGTTGTACAGTATACTTTCAGAAATGATATGAACATATAAAATTTAAATCGCGCAATTTACTTTAGATTAACGTGGATTATATTTGAAGGAGCAATAAAGAAAGTTTTNATGTATATGATGTGGGACACCCTGTATCCACCACCATGTATATAATGTGGGACACCCTGTATCCACCACCAATGTATATAATGTGGGACACCCTGTATCCACCACCATGTATATGATGTTGGACACCCTGTATCCACCACCAATGTATATAATGTGGGACACCCTGTATCCACCACCATGTATTCCCTAGTGCCAAAGCTAGCAATAGATTTCTTTATCTCTTCTTCAACAATTCTCTAACACCATGTCGCAGTTTCTTCACACCTTGTTTTATAACATTAGAAGGGGTGATATTTCTTAGATATTTCAAACATATTTTTCATACTCACAACATTTCTCAGATATTTCTTGCATACTTTCAACATATTTCTAATGTATTTTTAACATAATTATAACAAATTTCTAAAATATTTCTAATATATTTTTAAAATGTTTCAACATGTTTCTGTAACATATTTTTAACGTGTTTTTAATAAATTTATAATGTATTTCTAACATATTTCTAACATGGTCCTATATCATGTTTCTAACATTTTCTAACATATTTCTAACATATTTCTAACATATTTCTAACATGTTTCTTACATTCTTCTATTTCTATCATTTTTCTTATGTATATCTAACAAATTTCTAACATATTTTCAACATATTTTCAACACATTTCACACATATTTCCAATATATTTCTCACATATGTTTTATACATATTTTTTACATATTCTAACGTATATAAAATATTTCAACATTTTTCTCTCATATTTTCTTAATTATAATATATTAATAATAATAATTTATATTTCCAACATATTTCCAACCTATGCCTAACATTATTCTAACACATTTCTCACCTATTTCCAACATAATTTTAACATATTTCTAGTGTATTTCTAACATAATTCCAACATATTTCTCACATATTTCCGACATATTTCTAACATATTTCTTAAATATTTCTCAGAAATTCCTAACATATTGCTCACATATTTCCAACATAATTCTTACATATTTTAACATATTTCTATCAAATTTCTAACATATTGCTCACATATTTCTCACATATTTGTAAGAATGTTTGTGTTATAAACTGATGATGTCGACCTATCTAAGAATGAGTGAGTAAGGTTTGAAGAGGTGTATATACTGTATATACTGTATGAGAATGAGAGAACATGTATCAATGTATATTGTATATAATGTATATCGATAAAGAATGAGAAATAATATTATTTTGCTCCCGGGGCCTTATTCTCCATTATGCAACCCATATTTCACCCACCAACCATATTTATTTCAACCAACAGCCGAAGGACTAAATAATATCAAGGATTTTTTCTGAGTTTTTAGACAAGGAAAGATTTTCCCATTTAAAATTTGAAATTTAAATTTTAGAGGAAAAAATTCACCCCTTTACGATTTTTGACGAGAAAATGTTGATTGTCACGAATTTGAGTTAAAATTTTAATGTAAACTGTAAAATTGATTGCGTGTTTTTTTTCGATTATTTTTGTGAGAATATTGTTTATCTTGACGTTTAATCTGGATAGTCATTGTGGGCACTTTTAATTTGAGGATTAAAGCTAGATTCCTCAATCAAATTTATACCTGCAGGGATTAAATTAAACCGTAGATCTACATAAGATGGAGATCAATGCCGCCTGATCCCCAGATTTAAAACATAAAAGTTTTAATATTTTGCTTTACAATGTTTTCTCAATGTGCGTTCTCCATGTACGTTCTGCATGCGTGTTCTTGTTTTGCGTTCTTAATTTGCGTTCACAATGTACGTTCTTTATGTGCGTTCTTAATGTACGTTCTTGTTTTGCGTTCTTAATTTGCGTTCTCAATGTACGTTCTTTATGTGCGTTCTTGTTTTGCGTTCTTAATTTGCGTTCTCAATGTACGTTCTTTATGTGCGTTCTTGTTTTGCGTTCTTAATGTGCGTTTACAAATTACAATGTACGTTCTTTATGTGCGTTCTTGTTTTCCGTTCTTAATGTGCGTTCTCAATGTACGTTCTTTATAATGTCCGTTCTTGTTTTGCGTTCTAAATTTGCGTTCTCAATGTACGTTCTATACGTTCGTTCTTGTTTTGAGTTCTTAATTTGCGTTCTCAATGAACGTTCTTTATGTGCGTTCTTGTTTTGCGTTCTTAATGTGCGTTTACAAATTACAATGTACGTTCTTTATGTGCGTTCTTGTTTTGCGTTCTTTATGTGCGTTTAACAATGTACGTTCTTTATGTGTGTTCTTGTTTTCCGTTCTCAATGTACGTTATTTATGTGCGTTATTGTATTGCGTTCTTAATGTGTGTTCTCAATTTACGTTCTTGTTTTGCGTTCTAATGTACGTTCTCAATGTACGTTCTCAACGTGTATTCTCAACGGTTCGTTCTCAAAAAAAAGACATTCTCTTAAATATAACTACTTAATTCAATGTGCGTTCAGGACATGCATTCTCTTGAATTTTACTACTTTAATGTGTGTTCAGAACGTGCATTCTTAATGCGTCCCCCTTGATTTGTTCATCATTAATGCATATGTGCGTCCTGTTTTGTAAACAATAATGTTAATAAAAGTCCCCTTATTCGTGTAATCAATATTTTACTAGATACCATGATATAATACTGTAGAACATTTCTTGCTGTATCTCATTAACAAGATTAATTGTATACTTCTTCAACAGTTTGTTTTGGTAATACATGCATATTGCATACAGTATATTTACTTAGTTTTTCTTACAAACATTAGTTTTTCATTATAGTTGACTTTAAACTGAAAATCGTTGACTTAATCTTTGTTTAAACATGGCTTTAATTGCTTTTCAATTGATCAATCAGTTATCTTCAAATATCTGATTCTGATCAATTGATCAATTATTGATCTTCAAATGAAACATGATTACTATTCAGTTGATCAATTAACGATCTTAAAATACCTGATTGATATACAATTGATCAATCAGTGATCTTGAATTACTATGAATGCTATACAATTGATCAATTAGTCATTTTAAGAACCTTATTGCTATAGAATTAATAGATTAGTTATCAGCAATTATACCTGATTGCTATACAATTGATCGATTAGTTATCAGCAATTATTCCTGATTGTTATACAATTGATTAATTAGTGATCTTTAATTACCATGATTGCTTTACAAATAATCAATTAGTGATCTTCAAATACTTGATTTTTATCTAGTTGACCAATTAGTAATCATCAATTATACCTGATTACTTTTCAGTTGATCAATTAGTAATCATCAATTATACCTGATTACTGTTCAGTTGATCAATTAGTAGTCATCAGTTATACCTGATTACTATTTAGTTGATCAATTAGTAATCATCAATTATACCTGATTACTTTTCAGTTGATCAATTAGTAATCATCAATTATACCTGATTACTATTCAGTTGATTAATTAGTAATCATCAATTATACCTTATTACTGTTCAGTTGATCAATTAGTAATCATAAATTATACCTGATTACTGTTCAGTTGATCAATTAGTAATCATCAATTATACCTGATTACTATTCAGTTGATCAATTAGTAATCATAAATTATATCTGATTACTACTCAGTTGATCAATTAGTAATCATCAGTTATACCTTATTACTGTTCAGTTGATCAATTAGTAATCATCAATTATACCTGATTACTGTTCAGTTGATCAATTAGTAATATATCTGATTACTACTCAGTTGATCAATTAGTAATCATCAGTTATACCTTATTACTGTTCAGTTGATCAATTAGTAATCATCAATTATACCTGATTACTGTTCAGTTGATCAATTAGTAATCATCAATTATACCTGATTGCTGTTCAGTTGATCAATCGATTTACTTCTTTGTTGCTTTGAAACGACCTTGTCGTGAATCTGAAAAATATATTGAATAAAAAGTAGTAAATTATAAATGTAAGATAAGAATAGTGTTGTAAAACATCATCTTTAACAAATTTTTTAAATTAGATTTCTTATTGATTTTATGAAACTATTGTGTACTTCGCAGTTGCCTTACAGTTTTTTTTACTTAGCTCTTCTCTATATCCAGGAGATTTACTTAGCTCTTCTCTATATCCAGGATATTTACCACTTTTTAGATTATATCTTGTACCTCGCTAAAACTCAGGACAAAATATAATCTCAAAAGACTTGAATATTCTTGAGAAAGAGAAAATTTCTTTCCAAAAACTGAATGGCATTGCGAACCAAATAATACTGTTATATACAGTTATAATGTGCTAAATGAATTAAACAGGATCCTCTACAGTCTTTTCAAGGATTTTTACTACATACAATACAAAATAAATACAATGAAAATGAAAAATATCTCCGACATTCATAATTTTTTAATTTTACTGATTTACAACAAAAATTCGTCTGACCTTGGTATCGATGTTATACTCCGACTTGGTTAGTTCCCGTCTTGACTTTAAACTTCCGGTGGATGTACCGGAACTACCGTTATGTCCACGTGACACATGTCCACGTGTGTCGGGGATTTCTCTAAATCCTTCCCGCGTAATATTTTTATCTCTAACACTTCCAAATCCTTCAGTTCGCCTTGGCTTTTCCTGAAAATATAATAGTAAACATGGATCCAGAGAGCAATGAAAATATTTCATAATTTTTCAAGACTGGGTTGACATTAAAGTGTCGCATAATCACCCCCCCTCCCCTCCTCCTTGGAAGATTATTATTTATTATTCTGATGCGCTAATTGTCAAAAAAATTGATCACTAAATAATCTAGCTTTGACTGTCGACTATCAACCAGAATATTTAGGCAGCGGCCAATCTGTGTTACTCGCGAATGCCGCAAAGAATTATAAGACAGAGAGAGAGAGAGCCATTTCTAGCCGCGGTGCTCGGCCCCCTGACCTGTCTTAGCCGTAGCGCAAGGCCCATAAAGTGGCTAAACCTAACCTAACCCTAAAATATATACTGATCTCTCTCTTCTTATAATTCATTGTAGCATTCGTGAGTAGTAGAGTTTGCCGCTACCAAATATTTACATATTTAAAAGCCGAGTTTGTTTTAATTGATCTAGAAATAGTGTCGCAATGTCGTCTAACCAGCTAAAGGGTTAAATTACTGCTGTACTTTAAAAGATATAAATTAAAACTTTAATATTTCTTTAATCCTAGATTAAGATTTATCTATAAGGCTCTCCATATTTTTGGAGCGTGCAACCGAATATATGCAATGAAACTTTTTAAATAAACGTTCTACACATTTTACTTGGTGTTCCATTAAGGAACGACTGAACCGATTGGGGGGAAAAGAAACTTTGTTAAACAAAATAGCAATTATTGCAGACCATTGACCACCAAGATGGCCATTGGCCGGTATCACTAGAAATTAGAATTTTATCGGTTCAGACGTTTCAAGGTTGATTAATATAAACAAATATATAACAAAAGTCGTCTTCACTCTAAATTATAAAATTAAAAAACCACTTGTATTAAAAAAAATCGCTTATTTGACATTTAATGTTTGAAAGGGCCAATAAGCAATTTTTTGTAGCTAAACTGGCAGCCAACCAATTCTTTCTGCCAATTTTTTGATTTCATAATGAAGAGTTTTTCCCTACATTTTAATTTGAAAAATTTTAAAAACTTACTTTATGATCAAAATTATGATTTTGTTGTTGTGGAGGAGCTGTTGCAGTTGTTAAGTCCTCCCTGCTTCCTCGCGAACTCGATCCTAAATACAATTCTATTAATTCCATCCAACCATTTGTAACAAATAACTTTAAAAAGGGAGGAATCTAATTGCACGGAGTTCCAACAAATGGAAATATATTCAGGTGTGCAATTACAAGGACTGTAAGATACGAACCTCCATTAACGTTAACCATATTTAAAACCTTATCTGATCATCAATGTAGAAGATATTTTCGTATTAATGCGGAAGTCGCCTTTGTATAAGTAACGAAAATTAATATATATTCATCATTTATATTTGTCTAAAGCAAAATTACATTAGACAATATTAAAGATTGCAATTTAATATTAATACTCTTTTCTCTGGATATCGCATTTTATAATTGTCAGGGTTTGCCAAAAAACAGGTGCAATACAAGACTTTTAGCATGAGTTATAGTTTAGTTATTCAGAGGTGGTTATTCAGTTTACTAAATTATAAACATTGATATATAATTCATACTTGATCAGTCAAAACTTTGAAGGGTACCATCGTGAATCAGACGTTGCGATATTTGCAGGGCCGGACATTTTTAATTGACGGAATGTTGTTTGCAATTTATGCCAATTGCAGCTTAACATTAACATAATTGCGCGAAAGACTTGCAATTTAGCGCAATTAAGAATGACATGTATGGGAAATCATATAATGGTTTATAATCTTTTACAGACTAAAAAACCTGTCTTTTCCACATTTTATACAATAACGAAACTTAAATCAATACAGCAAACGATAAAACTACAGTATATTAAGGGCTCTGCGAATCAATAAGAAACTCTAATGTAAAATATAAGGATAAGATTTACTTTGCAGGGCGGAACCTTGTCAAAACATTTAAATTTGATGAAATTACATGAATTTAATAAAAATATTCCTCCGCACTTGAAGGAGGCTCTTGAACAATTCCAAACCAAACCTTTTCTTCTTCTTGAAATGAAAATGTGTGCGGAAACATTTAAGGAAATAAAATCTTGTATTAAAATAAATTCCCCTAAAGCCAACAACATGATCCAAGCAAAGAGTAAAATTAAAACATTAAACTTTCTTCATCTTACAACTTATAAAACGTTTATAGAATGCACTGTACACTGTACACTGTACACTGTACACTGTACACTGTAAAGAACAGAATCTGTGTCATTATAGATGATAACTGTACTGCAGAGTGCACATACTGTACTCTGCAGTACAGTATCATCCATGTTTTCAATTAAACTGCTACAGCGTATACACAGTACACTGTAACGTACAGTATCATCAATGATTTAAACTGTATTTCAGATTACAGTATCTTCCTTGCAGTCAGCTATACTGAAGTAAACACTAACACTGTACAGTAAAGTATCATCCTTGGTTTTAACTATACTGGAGTGTATTCTATGCTACAGTACCATCCTCCATCCATCATATCAACTTTACAGTACAGTACAGTACAATCCTTGTACTGTACTGTACTATATACTATTCACTGTCGTTTTGATGGTTATAAATAATTTGAATGTGAACACTTAGAAATGGTAAAATACGAAGTGAAATCAATTTGACATAAAATAAAGTTGAAATGGTAAATACAAAATGAAAAGTATATCTCTTTTTATTAATTTGACATTCAATATTATTCAGACTTACTAAGATCAGATTTGCTGTTGGCGTGCTGGTAGCGATGTAAATGCGCAAACTGTTCCGGGGTCATACACGTGCACTGTACTTTTCTAAACATAAAAATCTATGAGCACAGATTAATAACAATACAGATATAAAACTAGATATCGTCTTTTCAAAATTTAGGGTTTTTTCTCCTCAATATTCTTGAGGTAGAAGCCCAAAGGAGTTACGCGCACGATCTCTCTCTGTGTCTTGTCATTTAACCCAGCATGCGCGTTACTCCTTTGGGCTTCTGCCTTAGGGTTATTGTGAAGGAAAAACCTCTAAATATTGAAAAGACAATATCTAGTGTTCTATCTGTATTGTTATTAATCTATGTGTATGAGTAACATTTATATAAAAATGTTTGTATTTCTAAAAAAGGATTTTCCATGACTGATTACCGTTTGATGTTTCTTATTTAATAATAATGACAAATTTTTTGTAAATTTTCACTTGTTGAAAACGCTATATATCATCATTGTGTGTGGTTCTAAGATTGAGGAAGAAATTATGGCAAACCGTAACAACATTTAACTGTCTAGAATTCAAGTCTCTGATTCTATTTTGAAAAACGACTTTATTCCAGATTATTTTGCGAGCAATTTGTTTATTTTTTCTGTCATATTTTGTTTGTTACCTGTTAGTGTACTTCAGTAACATTTTAAATACTTTATCGTGTCACGTTTTTATTTACCTTTCCTTCTTTTAATTTACCTGATATGTTTTTATTTACCTTTCATTTTTTGTGTTTACCTTTCACGTTTTTATTTACTTTCATTTTTTTGTATTTACTTGAAAGGTTTTTATTTACCTTTCATTTTTTGTATTTACCTGTCACATTTTATTTACCTTTCATTTTTGGTATTTACCTGTCACGTTTTTATTTACCTTTCATTTTTCTGTATTCACCTGTTACGTTTTATTTTTCACATGTCACATTATGCACCTTGCTTGTCAAGTTTTTTTGCATTTTACCTGTATCGTTTTATATTTTACCTGTTACGTTTTGTATTTTACCTGCCATGTTTTATATTTTACCTGTTACGTTTTGTATTTTACCTGTCACGTTTCGTATTCTACCTTTTAGGTTTAGTATTTACCTGTCACATTTTATATTTTGCTTGTCACGTTATATCTTATCTATCCCGTTTACCAGTCCCGTTTTGTATTTTACCTGTCACGCTTGATATTTTACCTGTCATGTTTTGTATTTTACTTGTCATGTTTTATATTTTACCTGTCACGTTTTGTATTTTACCTGTCAAGTGTTTTTTTTAATTTTTACGTTTAGTATTTACCCTTTACGTTTATATTTTACCTGTCACGTTTTATAGATTACCTGTCACGTTTTTTATTTTACCAGTCACGCTTAATATTTTACCTGTCACGTTTTATATTTTACCTGTCACGTTTTATATTTTACCTGTCACGTTTTATATTTTACCTGTCACGTTTTATATTTTACCTGTCACGTTTTGTATTTTACCTGTCACGTGTTGGGGAACTTGGTGTACTTGTGCTCATTGGTTTCCTCTTACTGCTGAACAAAATATATATTAAGGTTTTGAGAGGACAGTTGGAAATGAATGTATCCTTTACTCTCAGACAAATTAGAATCAATGGAAATTTAAACCACTGAGGGATTCAAACCCGAGGGTGCAGCCCAAGGGTTTATCATTAAATCCAGAGGGAGGTTTAAATTTCCATTGATTTTAATTTATCTGAGAGTAAATGACATTCCTTTGTAAAAAATAACAAATTATTTTTATTATTTATTATTATTTTTAAAAGGGGCGGGATAAAAATGAAAATTGTTGCATACCAAAAAACCAGCTTTTTACAAAGGAATAACAGTTCACTTAAAATACAACTACAGTTTCTTTAAGAATTATTAGAGTGTTAGAATCTGTATTATTTACAACGGGATATAATGGCAAATTGAATACATCTCAAAGATGAGTTCTCATGCAGAGTTATTAAATATATCGTTGAATTATAATACAACTACATATTTACACAGCTGTTAAATCTTGTGTAAACCTTCAACATTATATCATGTCAACAAAATTAATAAATTCATAGAAACATTACAATAAAAAACAGGAATGTTTTGTTGAGAAATTCATTTGTTACAATTTTTTATATGTTACATGATTTTTAAATGTTTGATAATCGTAATATTAGACCATTTTATTCCTTGTTTTATGTTTCGCTTTGTTCTAATTTATTTTAGACCATTCACTTTGCAAAAAATTTCATTCTGTAAAATTTTCGGTTGTTCAGAAAAAAAATGATCGTTCCGACAAATCCTTTAATTCAACAACTTTATGTGTATAATCCTTTAATTCGGCAACTTTATGTGTATAATCCTTTAATTCAACAACTTTATGTGTATAATCCTATAATTCAACAACTTTATGTGTATAATCCTTTAATTCAACAACTTTATGTGTATAATCCTTTAATTCAACAACTTTATGTGTATAATCGTTTAATTTAGGTGAATATTGTCAACGATATTGGATCGTTTGTGAACTAAATCAATGAAATTTCTGGAATATTGCGAACGTTTTAGATAGTTTTTACATTTCTCTAGACGATCCATTTCGATCGTTCTATAATTTTATTGAACAACATTATCGTTAACGATTTGTTTTTGTTCGCTAACAGGAACGATGTTCAACTCTAGAAATGGAATTTGGGTCTTGAAGAAATAAACTTTTAATTTGAAGAATCTTGTTTAATCCTTCTTATTATTAGGAGGAGTTACAGAGAAAGGTTTTATTTCTAATTGGAGAAGTGCTCAGAATCAAGCATTAGTATGCATTGCACACACTCTTGGGGGAGGGGGGGGGGGCTGGGTATAGAGGGGGGTCCCGCAGGAAAATTTATATTCATCGTGAAAAATGCGCGTTTTTCTTCTGAATGAAAATTAATCTAAAAGTAATTTAATTTTAGATGTTTATTTTGATCAGATATGTAGACTGTAGACTGTAAAAAAAATGTTTATAGATTTTTTTCAGGGAATTATAAAGTTTATATTATTTTGCTGTTATACAGTGAAACCCTTAATAACGAATACATCGAAAGAATTCATCAAATGTCGTATTCTTCACTTTCTGATAATGGAATGTTGCAGATATTTAGTTTTTTATTAAATGATTATATGGAACTCTTTAAAACTGTTCCCGCATATTCATGACTATTTATTTATTTTCTCAAATACTGAAATTTACGTTATATAGTATAAAACTCATTGAAAAATTGTCAAGACGACATTTGATGAATTCTTCCGATGTATTCGTTATTAAGGGTTTCACTGCATATAGGTAGAGCAAGCATTAAAAAATCGAAGCTAGGCGGAAAAGATTATGATAAGCTACAGGGACTTTATTGACCACCTGAAACTTGAGCAATTTGGACTTTGGAGGTCGAGTTTGTTTTATGGTTCTTCTTGATTTGGCAAGAAGAGAGAAACAAGTTAAAAACTGCAACACTATCGCGAAGGAAGGAGATGATTCATTTGATATAATGTACCGGTTTGACGTCTGTATGCATACTGCATACTCAGCTTAAAAACTGCGACACTATCGCGAAGCAAGGAGATGATTCATTTGATGTAATGTACCGGTCTGCCGTCTGTATGCATACTGTACTCTGCGCTAACTCAGCTTAAAAGTCAGTCTGCAGGTACTTCAAATGAACCGGAGTTTTCAGTGGCAACTTGAAACTAAATAAATTCGCTCAGTCCTCTCTGTTCAAAGTAATGTAACGCTGTGAAAATTCAATATATTACACAGTGGTAACCAATAAAATGTGGAATAATTGCCGGCGTCGTTCTCTTTTTTTAATTAGGATTAAAAATTATTAATTACAAAACTATTAGCATTTTAAACTTAATTATGGAAGACGACAACTACCGTATTGGTTATTTGTTACATGTTTTTTTTGTTAGATCTGATAGTCCATATTCATGTTGCAAAGATTTAAGGATTAGAAAATATGAGTTTGTGACAAAAACTCAATTCCTTTGCCAAAGCTTGTTTTGCTAGTAAAGTCCTGGTTAAAGCCGAGTCCGCAGTGAGAATTACTTTTACAGCACAAAGTTAAATTTACGTCAAATACCCATTTTTTTTCCAAGATGTGATAAGGGCGCCGAGTCATGTGATTAAACTTTTATCTTTTTGGTTTAATAAATAATTAATCCTGAAGATTGATGCACGTTTATTAATTCTCTACTCTAATCTAATTTCTAAAACTGGTCTGGTGGTACTGCAGTGCAGTAATATACAGTGCAGGCTGCAATGCGAACCAGAAAACTCTGGAATAGGAAGACGACATTGCGTTTGCCTTGTAACTAATAACATCAAATACACTTATGTATTGCTATAATCTCGTCTTTATATTCCACAGTTTACTGGTTTTCACTGTAAGGCTAGTTCATTCACGTATGTGATCAAAATTATAACTATTTTTTACGGAAACCTTACAAGGTTCATATAATAACCTATTTTTTATAAGCTATTTCTTTAGCTTTACAATTATAAAACGTCAAATTATAAGCTATTTCTTTAGCTTTACAATTATAAAAGGTCAAATTATAAGTTATTTCTTAGCTAGTTATACAATTATAAAAGGTCAAATTATAAGCTATTTTTAGTAATACATTTATAAAAGGCCAAATTATAAACTATTTCTTAAGCTTTAAAATTATAATAGGTCAAATTATAAGCTATTTCTCAGTTTTACAATTATAAAAGGCCAAATTATAAGCTATTTCTTAGCTAGTTATACAATTATAAAAGGTCAAATTATAAGCTATTTCTTAGCTAGTTATACAATTATAAAAGGTCAAATTATAAACTATTTCTTTAGCTTTACAATTATAAAAGGTCAAATTATAAGTTATTTCTTAGTTATACAATTATTAAAGGTCAAATTATAAGATATTTTATAGATATACAATAATTAAAGGTCAAATTATAAGCTATTTCTTAGTTTTACAATTATAAAAGGTCAAATTATAAGCTATTTTTAGTAATACATTTATTAAAGGCCAAATTATAATATTTTTAGTAATACATTTATTAAAGGCCAAATTATAATCTATTTCTTTAGCTTTACATTTATAAAAGGTCAAATTATAAGCTATTTCTTAGTTTTACAATTATTAAAGGTCAAATTATAAGCTATTTCTTAGTTTTACAATTATTAAAGGTCAAATTATAAGCTATTTCTTAAGCTTTAAAATTATAAAAGGTCAAATTATAAGCCATTTTCAGTAATACATTTATTAAAGGCCAAATTATAAACTATTTCTTTAGCTTTACATTTATAAAAGGTCAAATTATAAGCTATTTCTTAGTTTTACAATTATTAAAGGTCAAATTATAAGCTATTTCTTAGTATTACAATTATAAAAGGTCAAATTTTAGCCATTTTAAGGGAAAATTCTAAAAGTTCAAATCATAGACTTTTTTATTAGAAATACTATAGCTTGGAAACCCAGCTCTGCCCGGAAACTAAGCTTTCTCTCTAAAAGTCAAAATAATCAATTAAAAATTGTTTAACAACGCGAAGAAAATCTTAATCAAATTTTGAGGCAAATTGGTCAAGTGGTTCACGAGTTATGATCAGACTAACAGAGCTTACTACTTTGTATTTATAAAAGATTAGAAAGAAAATAAATAACAGACATAAAATGTTTGAATTCTGAGTTTTTAAATATTTTGTAGAAAACAAAAACTCACCCATTTTGTGCACTTCCATTTGCTGGATTTCCGCCTGCTATACCGTTGATATTGCAGTTACTCACACCTACAAATATCATTTTCAAATCTTAAATTATTATTTTTGAGGAATTACGCAGAATAATTGTTTATGGAAGAATGTTCCTGATTTTAATTTAATATAAAATGGGTTTATTAAAAAGATTTCTCAAGAATTTTTAAATATCTTAGAAGTAAAAAAAACAGATTTTTGATTGAAAAGATTGCTGGCCAATTCATAGATTTTTAATTCTTAAATTTTTTTTGATTGTTTGAATTTTGAAATATATGGATAGCTTAGTGGATCTATAGAGCTAAGAAAATAATGGATGGGACAGTGGTTCCTAAATATAGAGCTAAGAAAAGAATGGATGGGTCAGTGGTTCCTACATGTAGAGCTAAGAATAGAATGGATGGGAAAGCAGATCTATACAGCTAAGAATAGAATTGATGGGATAGCAGATCTATAAAGCTAAGAATAGAATGGATGGGACAGCAGATCTATGGAGCTAAGAATAGAATGGATGGGATAGCGGATCTATAGAGCTAAGAATATTTCGGATGGGATAGTGGATCTAAAGAGCTAAGAATAAAATGGATGGGATAGTGGATCTAAAGAGCTTTAAGAATAGAATGTATGGGATAGTGGATCGATAGAACTAAGAATAGAATGGATGGAATAGCGGATCTAAAGAGCTAAGAATAGGATGGATGGATAGGATATCGGATCTACAGGGCTAAGAATAGAATGAATAGGATACACTGTGATCTTGCCAGGCTACATTTGTTGCATTAAACGTAATGGGTCGACTCTACACTGGGAAGTCTGACTTAATGCATACATGCAGTACGTGATGTACCGGTACGGATCATGCAACTTTCAGATTGGGGTGGATAGCGGATCTATTGAGCTTTAAGAATAGAATAATAATAGAATAGATGGGATAGCGGATCTATTGAGCTAAGCATAGAATGAATGGAAGAGCGGATCTAAAGAGTTTTAAGAATATAATGGATAGGATAGCGGATCTATTGAGCATAGAATAGAATGGATGGGATAGCAGATCTATAGAGTTTAGAATAGAATGGATGGGATAGCGGATCTACAGAGCTTAGAATAGAATGGATGGGTTAGCGGATCTATAGAGCTTAGAATAGAATGGACGGGATAGCGGATCTATAGAGCTTAGAATAGAATGGATGGGGTAGCGGATCTATAGAGCTAAGCATAGAATGGATGGTAGAGCGGATCTATAGAGCTAAGCATAGAATGGATGGGAGAGCGGATCTATAGAGCTAAGCATAGAATGGATGGGATAGCGGATTTATAGAGCTAAGCATAGAATGGATGGGTGAGCGGATCTATAGAGCTAAGCATAGAATGGATGGGAGAGCGGGTCTATAGAGTTTTAAGAATATAATGGATGGGATAGCGGATCTGTAGAGCTAAGAATGGATAGTATAGCGGATCTATAGAGCTAAGAAAAGAATGGATATTATAGCGGATCTATAGAGCTAAGAAAAGAATGGATATTATAGCGGATCTACAGAGCTAAGAAAAGAATGGATATTATAGCGGATCTATAGAGATTAGAATAGAATGGATATTATAGCGGATCTATAGAGCTAAGAAAAGAATGGATGGGGTAGCGGATCAAATTAAATGGTTGACCTCTACTCCTTGACTCCTGCTGTAGTCTGGAGGTTCGACCAGTTTGTTCTGGATGGGAGCATGTACACTGTGGTTCTCTACCCCTACAATATGTAATTAAAGGGACTGTTATCTACCCCTACAATATGTATTTAAAGGGACTGTTCTCTACCCCTACAATATGTATTTAAAGGGACTGTTCTCTACCCCTACAATATGTATTTAAAGGGACTGTTCTCTACCCCTACAATATGTAATTAAAGGGACTGTTAGCGTATAATAATGAATGAATATATAACAATGACTGATTCAAAACGATATCCTTGAAAGCTTAGTCTGATCAAGCGTTAATTAGATATCCGTATGTATGATCATTTCTATTGTGGGTCCCCTGCGCATTTCTACTGCATAAGTACATATAGGAATTCCAAGTTATTGATCAGATCAAGGTTTTAAGAGAACTGTCATCTTTGCATTGAGGGTTACTTTAAACTATTCTTATAGTTATTTTATTTAAAAACCCATCAAAAAAACATTTATAAACATATAGCTTTTGTGAACTTTTTGTTGGAAGTAATTTTTTATCAAAGAAATTATTTATTTCTGTTGCGAAACTATATTCTTTCAATTTTATAAGATTAATATAGCAAACATTCTGAAATTTAAAATCCTATTTTAATTCTAACTGTTTGTAACTGTAGTTTTAATGCTTTAAGATTATTATTTTCAATGAACGATCAAATCTCATATTCTTGCTTGTCCATATGCTACCTGGATGGAGATACAGGGGTTGACCGGCTTGAAGCAGCCTTTGCTCTCATCCTGGAGGCTGAGTTGGATCTACTTCCGTCCTAAAAAAAATATTTTTTTTGCTATTCATCATTCATGTTCTGTTGATGCTAAATCTCAATATAGCAGTGCTATAAAGTGCTCATAGGACTATAATGTTAAATAAACTGTAATAGTAGCAATGTTTTATTTTATAATCAAAATTAAAATAAAATTGAAATCATTTTCTGTTTCTGTTTGTCAAAAAGCTTAAGTTGTTTATGTTACTCTCATAAATAGTCAAAACCATTTAAAAAAAAGACTTCTTTCTTTGCTTGATTTGAACTTGCTTTTTATATTTGTTCTTTTTCACCCCTAATTGTATTTTTCTTTTAAAATAAAAATATTTGTGAAATCTTATCTATTTATAATAACAAAACCCGATTTAAAGAACTTCTAAGGCTTTGAGATGAATTTTTAAAATACTGTATACAGAGCATCTAAACAAGATCAATAAATGAAAATATATAAGTCAGCAATAACTGAGACAGTGGCGTGGTGACGTATATAGAATTAAAGAGACTGTAAGCTTTATTTCAAGTGACTCTCGAGCCTCCCAGCAAAGATAGACCTTAGATCAAGTAGTCTAAGTTTGAAATATCTAAGGTTTACACAATTGGGTTGCAAAGATATGTCTAGAAAATTCCTTTCCTTCCTAACTTAACATCAAATAAAATAAAAATGCTCTAAATAAACTTATTCATATAGTATATATTTATACTAGGCTTTCAGGGTGCTTCGTGCATATCTTTGATTAAAATTAATTTAGCTGTTGCTCTGTCATCCTTTTTTTCGTGGATTTTGGAAGAGCGAAATTTTGGGTTCAGTCGTTTTTCCATTTTTGGATACAAACAAACAACCAAATATACAAGAAAATACATATATAGATAATATATAAGTTTGTATGTAAACTATTATGAAACTATATTCTAGTGAAGCAACAGTGTTTATAAACTAGATAAACAAGGTTTATATATATTCAACCAACTTACAAGTTATCAAAGAATAGAAGCGTTTTATCTTACAGTTTCCTTTGTTTAGATTACAGCAGTTTAAAGGAAACATATATTAGGCAGAAAGGGAAACTTTTGAATGGAATAAATAAACTTTAATCCGATCTCATTTTATTTCCCTTTTTGTTTGTTCATTTAAAGATCCTTGGATTCTCCAATAAGACCAAGCTGTAAGTTATTCAGTGGAAATTCAGGTTTTTTTATGAAAAGAATCATTAACAAAAGAGTTTTTAACTGGAGATTTCTCAACCGAGTACAGCTGATTTAATCAGTTGAAAAGTTCCAGAAATTATATTTTTGTTTTAATCTTAATTTAACCTTTTAGGGAAAAAATAAAAAGGTATCCGAGTCCCCTTTCATATTTTCTGAGAGGGGACAGTAAACGTAACGTCAATGAACCTTGATAGAGTTGTCTGATTCACAACAGATTCTTGCTTTAAAAACTATGGAGAAATTATCATAAAAAAAACATTTTCAAATTAAACAAAATTTAATGTATCCGATTAACAATGGTCCACTTGTAACCTTAATATATTCAGGAATAAGAGGAAACGAATGAGCAAAAGTACACCTAGTTCTCCAACAAGTGACAGGTAAAATATAAAACGTGACTGGTAAAATATATAACGTGACAGGTAAAATACAAAACGAGACAGGTAAAATACAAAACGTGACAGGCAAAATACGAAATGTGAAAGGTAAAATATAAAACGTGACAGAAAAATATAAAACGTGACAGCAAAAATACATAACGTGTCAAGTAAAATATAAAACGTGACAGGTAAAATATAAAACGTGACAGAAAAAATACATAACGTTTCAGGTAAAATATAAAACGTGACAGGTAAAATATGAAGCGTGACAGGTAAAATATTAAACGTGACAGAAAAAATATATAACGTGACAGTTAAATCTAAAACGTGACAGGTAAAATACAAAACGAGACAGGTAAAATACAAAACGTGACAGGCAAAATACGAAACGTAAAAGGTAAAATATAAAACGTGACAGAAAAATATAAAAAGTGACAGAAAAATACATAACGTGTCAAGTAAAATATAAAACGTGACAGAAAAAATACATAACGTTTCAGGTAAAATATAAAACGTGACAGGTAAAATATGAAGCGTGACAGGTAAAACATTAAACGTGACAGAAAAAATATATAACGTGACAGTTAAATCTAAAACGTGACAGGTAAAATACAAAACGAGACAGGTAAAATACAAAACGTGACAGGCAAAATACGAAACGTAAAAGGTAAAATATAAAACGTGACAGAAAAATATAAAAGGTGACAGAAAAAATACATAACGTGTCAAGTAAAATATAAAACGTGACAGGTAAAATATAAAACGTGACAGGTAAAATATAAANTCTAAGCTCAGAACTTTCCCTCCATAGGTCTACAAACTCTTAAATCTAAGCTCAGAACTTTCCCTCCATAGGTCTACAAACTCTTTAATCTAAGCTCAGAACTTTCCCTCCATAGGTCTACAAACTCTTAAATCTAAGCTCAGAACTTTCCCTCCATAGGTCTACAAACTCTTAAATCTAAGCTCAGAACTTTTTTGGAATTCTATCGAATTCCCTTAAAAAAATTTGAGGTAATCGGTCAAAAGGTTCCACTCTATCCCCGTAGTAAATTTGAATTCGAACAGGACCTGCCCAGTTTGTACCCGCCTGCCAGATAACAGCGTGTACTGACCCGATCCTATGGTACAGTACGTCGCCCTAACCGGACTAACATACGACAGGGGTCTATTTTCTTGGCATAGTCCCGTGCGAGGGCTAACTTTGACAACTCCCATGGCGCGTTCAGACTTTTTACAGTACCCGGCCTAATCCTAGGCCTATTTGACCGACCCCACTGGCTTAGTCCACTGTGGTTCATGAGTTATGATCGGACATACAAAACACAAACAGACAAGAAAAGCATTGAATCTCAGCTTTTCCAGGAAACTAAAATAAGTTTGACAGTGAAGACTCCCTGACTATCAAACCTGGACAGGATTTTGCTCCACAGTGGAATAATTCTTTCCACTCTCATAGATTAAGATATAATTCTATTTTTATGATTATTTTTCGATTATTTTGTTATCCTAAATCCTTATCTGTTTATTAATTATATAAATAATATAGATTTTCATTTCTACTCTATAGACTGGTTGTGTTTCAGAAACCTCACACAATGTTTTTTATTTCGATAATTTTTTCACACAATAGTACGTTTATAACCCTAAAAAAAATAGCACTGCAATTTCTTAGCTTTATCTATATTAATGTTGCATTTTTAAATCTTATGAATGTCAAAAGGACATTTTATGGCCGCTTTTTAAAAAAAAATAACTGTAGGAAGTGACAAGAAAAAATAGAATTTTCCTTCTTTTCAGGAAAATCTGCGAATTAATTGACGTTATTGTTGGGAGGGGGGGGGAAACTTTAAATTTTTTACAAAATTAAAAACCTTTAAAACACATTTTTTTAAATTTTTATCATTCATAACCCTTCCCTGTGGTCACGTGATGTCCCACAAAAAAATTTCGACCCGATCGGTTCAGCCGTTTTGACGTTTATTGGATACAAAAAAACAGACACCCAAACAGACAGACAAGCCAAATTTATATATAAGATGACCAATTTAATTAATTACTCGGCTTTGATTTTTTGTTTTTCTGAAAAAGATATATTAGGGCAGTATGTCAAACTTAGAAAATAAAGCAATTAATTATAAATATGATTGAATACAATTAATTTTTAACAATTATTAATTAAAAACTGGTTAGCATTGATTAATTTATTATTAATTTCTACAATTCTACTTTAAGTTTCAAGCATTCGATGGAAAGAACTTAACAAGGCTCTAAATGTATTTAAAGTGACCCTCTATTAAAAGAATTCAATGCTAGATTGACAATGGCACCCTGGAAACCTTTATCTGATCAATAATGTGGAAGATATTGTCTCTTTAATATATTTAAAAGTGATGTTTTCCTAAAGTTTTAGAAATGCGCAATTCACATTTTAAGAAAATTCACAATTCGAAAATATCAAGTTTTCCAAATTATAAACTTGGATATAAAATTCATACTTGATCAGACAAAGCTTTTAGGGGTACCGCGCTGTGAATCGGGCATTGACATCTTTGCATAGAGGGTCACTTAAAATTACGCTTACAACCCCTTTAAAAGATAGAGTACAAAGTAGCAACGTGTTAGTAAATTACTTTATCATGCGCATGCCTTTAGAAATATCCTTTCAACAAATTAGAATTATAAAATCATTCCCCTCCCCTCAGATTTTTTATTAAAAACCTACAAATTTTAAATTTCAATTTGGTGCAAATTAAAAGGCATCTAACTGTCACATTCTCGTATTGTTTTTGATAACCATGATAAGGGAAGATAATATTTTTATTTAGTTTTTTTTCTATTACAATATCTATTTATCTCTATTCATGTCCAATATCTAGATAATATTGGAATCCTACATCGTTTAATATCCGTCTATATATTATATAAATATAACTATATAGATGATATCAAATTAATTAATTTTTTAATCTAGTTCATAAATACTACAGATTTTTTTAAAATGATCTCCCCTTCTCTCTCCATTTTTGTTTGTAAACAAAAAACAATTATCATAACTACAAAAAGTTTTTTAGTTTATGGGGGGGGGGCACCAATTCCACTCACACACAAATTTCATAGAGTAAAGTTATGAAAGCCCGACACATGATCAATGATCATAGCCCAATTATTCAAGGTCTGCTAAAAAAGAAAATGTTTTTTTTTTTAAATGGCGAAATAAAATTTAAATGTGAGTTTTAGTTTAGATTTTTCGAAACACAGACCAGCCTTTCGATCTTTCTGTACCCTACGAATTCACCCAATGATCAAAAAAGCATTACTATAATTTTCGCTGATATTTTGTGACAATATTTAATCTGTAAAACATTGAAAATTTTATCATAATTCGTCTTAGCAAATGTAGAATATACTTAAAATTTGTCTTTAAAAATAAATAAATTGAGCTTAAGAAAAAATTCACAAAAATGCTTTAATCTACAGAAAAAAATTAACTAGATTAAAGGGTGCTCCGAGATTTTCGCTTTTTGCTTCGAGTTTTTCAATCGGCATTTATTCTTCATACTCTATTTCACTAAAATATTTCCTTCACATTTATTTACAAAAGAAATATCAAAATTTGTTTCTACGCAAAATTTGTAAATTTCGAACCCTTCTTCATGGTCTGCTCGGTTAAGCCGTGTTCAAGTTTATTGGATAGATACACACAGACTATATGTACACAGACTATATGTATATAGATAAATAATTTCGTTCTAGATTATTTTCCTATTATTAGCAAGGTTCAAAGGATCCAATTAAGATGAAAAACGTGGCAAACTCTTACTTTGCCCAATAATCTTTCTAATTCGTTAAGATCTGAGGTCCAAACTTTTGTATTCTTAATCTACTCTTAACGCGCTCAGTCTGTTCCTCACCCTCTGGCGGTTTGATTTTAGACGTTGGACACAACCATTTTAGTTAACCCTATTCACCCTGACGTCTGGTTTCTCTTAGTTTTCTCATTATGATACAAATCTATAACATTTGATACGTTTTTGGAAAGCCCTTGGCCTCTACCTTAATAATCTGCAAAAAATAGCAAAATTGCAAATATCCAAATATTTATTGCAAAATCTAGTTTGTGCAAAAAATTTGCGCAAATTGCATCAAATTATACATTTTTGAAAAGCCCTTGACCCAGCAAATTCAATCTGCAAAAACATTTCAAAAATTTTAAAAACCTAAATATGTATTAAAGAAAAACTGAAAATGTGCAAATTCCCTTTAAATGCGTCTGTGCAAAAGTCTGCGCAAAATTTCTTTGCAAAAATTGTGCAATATAGTTGCTTTTGATATAGGCTTCATAAAGAGCAATAAAATGTTGAAATCCAACAACTGGAAGTAGGTCTAAATATAGATTTAGTCTGGTGCAGGTAAAGGTAAAATAAGGCATTTAGGCAGTATTTCTGAGGACTCAGGGGTAGGGTCAAATTGACCCTACCCCCCTCCCCCCCACCAGGGTAAATAGGGTTAAGCCGATTCGTCTAGTGTTATCCATCAAAAATTTTACTTCAAAATTAACTTTTTAACTAAATTATATTAGTCTCGTATAATAACCATGTATATATATGTCTACTATTATTCCGTTAAATCTTGGACTTTTATTTGTTTATTATAATAACTCTAGGACTACTATTATTCCTATATAATAACTCTAGGACTACTATTAGTCCTATATATAACTCTAGGAATACCATAAGTTCTATATAACACCTCTAGAACTACTATTAGTTCTATATAACACCTCTAGAACTACTATTAGTCATATATAACAACTCTAGAACTACTTTTAGTCCTATATAATAACTCTGAACTGCTACAAGTCCAATATAACAACTCAAGGACTACCATTAGTCCTATATAATAACTACAGGTCTATTATTAGGCCTATATAATTACTCTAGGACTACTATTAGTCCTATATAATAACTCCAGAACTACTTTTAGTCCTGTAAACTAATGGAAAACTGTTTATTCTTGAGAAAGGCTTTAAATTTAAGAAAAATATATAGAAAACAGAGAATACTACATTCTACAATAGATCTTGGCATTATATTTTCATTCAAAACAATGTTATGTGTTTACATTGTTTTGGAATGAAAATAGTTATTGAGTTGCGTAGTTATGATCTTAGGACGCATTTAATAAACATTAAAAAATAATTGAAATAAGTTCTTCTTTTCTCTTGTGTACTTCAGTTCTTTTACTTCTTCCATAGTACCATGGTCAGAGCTAAGAGGATAACAGATTGGTAACAGAGATCAATTGAAACCTATGAGATGCGAGCTAGATTTTACACAGCAGTTTCTATTGTGGACAAGTACAATAAACGACCAATCAACAGACATCTGTATTCAGGGATATTTAATGTTATCCTTTGAATACGAAATATAAAATCTTCAAGAATAGACTAAATTCATGAATGTTAGGCTTCATGTTAAATTTGGGGTATTTCTTTAAAACTTGTAAAACTTAACCCCTGAATGGGTAAAATATGCAACAAGTGGCCGTTATTTAGCAGTCAAAACCCTTTCATAAACTGTAGCATGGCGTGACAGGACACTTTAGACCTGCTTATCCTATCCAGGTAGAGCATATGCGCAGTCCGTTTAGTTTGTGGTACCAATGTAATCCTAACTCTGACTGAACTATACTATTTCAATACATTGTGTAAAGTTAGTTTTTGGTGGTTTTTTTGTAAAAAAATAAATAGAAAGGGACTGTCCGCGTTATTTGAAATGTCTCAAGTTTTTATGTCCAATTCACAACAGTACTCTTTAAGCATTTGTCTCAGCAGACAAGATGGAGATATTCTTGTTTGATCGTTCTAAATCCTTATTTTTAATTGCAGTTTCTCTAGAAAAGAACTTGCAAATATTTGCAAAAAAGCCAGGGAAGAAAAACTGCCAGAATTTATATATTTTCAAGATGGAAAAACAACGATATCTTTATTACTTTATAACTGTAAAAAATTTAAAAAAGGTACCGTTGAAGTGAATCGGCGTGTAACTTTTAAAATGGAGGGTCAGTGGAAAGTTCGTGTACACTCCCTTTAAATGTAAAAAATATCTACCTGGCTGGGTCAACCTTACATCCAGTATCTTGTCAACCTGAAATAGAATAGAATAGAATAGAAATTACTAGTCAATTATTCAATCAATCAATGAAATAGCAAATGAATCAATTAATAACTATTGTATAAGTTTATTTATTTATAAACAAATTAATATATTTCTTCTATTCTTTTTTCATTGTTGATATTCAAATCAAGTCACAAAAATCTTGGGGATAAATTGCATTTTTAAGAGGGGTGGGGGTCCGGGGGAGGAAAACGAAGAACCTCCCACCCACCGACCACCTCCCGATTCTCTGTAGAAACACTTGTTAGTATTTCAGATATTTTTTATGTACATAGATTTATAGGGTAACACAATATTGTTAAAAGTTTTTAATTTTGAAATATTTGTGAAAACAAATTCAATAATATCTTGTTTTAGGATTTTATTTTTATTTTTGGGTTCTTGCTTTAAAAAGCTAGCTAAAGCAAAAGTCATCCTTTTGTTTCTTTAAAAATAAATTGGCACGGAAATCTGAAGTAAATTAGTTTACTTTTCCTTCTGTTTGAATTGAAAAAAAAGCAAATCCCACGTTTTCCCATAAAACTTACAAGAGCCTTGCTAGTTTTTGTCTCAAGACAGTGCCCCCCCCCCCCAGGAAAATCTAATAGTTAAAAATCCAACTTCTGGAAAACAAGAATTATGTTTTGTCAGAGAACAACATCAACTGAGGTTTTTGGACTTTTATAAAGTTACAAATAATAATTTTTCTTTTTTTAGCATTGGGCTTTCTTTTCACCATGCCAACTATTAAATTTTAACCCTAATAAAAGGAATGCTCACGGATCTTTTTAAAGCGATAGTTATTAGTTTCGTCATTTATTTATATTTCTTCTTTGGAGAACATTTTTTCATAATTTGAAAAAAGCAAACTTTTGAAAACAGTTTATGTTGGATCCTTCATAAAGAAATTGAGGCTTTGCCGCCCACAACTTCTGATTTTCTTATCCATATATCTTTGCAACCTAATGACATAGACCTTAGATATTTAAAACTATAACTTCTGTTTCATCAAATAGTTTGAATCAAATTAAAAGTTTTAAATATCAAAGGTTTATCCTGTATATAAAATTTGAGTTTGGTGCAAAGACTCAATTCCTTTATATAACATTAAATCTTCCAGATTCCTATTCAAAAGAAAGTAATTTTCATATTTGGAGTGAATAAATGAATAATATTAATGTAAGATATTTTACAATAAATTTTGTAAATTAATATGAGTCGAGTGCTCTGCAAGGGGGTGGGGGGGGGTAAGAAAGAAGAAAATTTTCATGACGATTTAAATGTAACTGCAAATACTAACTGTTGTAAAGACAAAAAGAAACCAAAAATGTCGGAATAATAAAATTTAGAATCTAAACTTGTCGTCTTTGCTCTGAATTTTTAGAATGTTTATCACTTTGTTCTTGGCCACGTTTATCTGTTCATTAATATTCCCTAGAAATGTCTTTTTATCCAATGTTTTCTCATTTTTCTTTCCAAGCCTTATCTTACTCACTTTTTACATGAGGTGGGGGGAGGTCTAATAAAACTTGAAATTCAATGATGTTGTTTAACAAGACCATAATACAAAGTATAGAAAATGGCTGCTGCATAATAATATAGATCTAATGAAATATTAATCAGCACTTCATTTCTGTGTTCTCTAACTCTACATATTTGTTGAAACCTTAAAAACTTCCTAGCCTAGCCCTGCAGCTAGGACAGGCTAGGTCGAGGAACCTCATTGTCCGACATTTTTAAGGATTTTCAGTTTTCTCAGCTAAAAATACTAAAATAATTTTCAAAATTTCAAAAGAGGGCCCGAGGGGAGGGGGGTGGAGTCTGCAAGTATTGTTTTCATAAATTGATGAATTTTTTTATAAAGCTTTTATAAAATTTAAATCTTACCTGCTGCCATTTAACGGAGCCTGATCCTCCTGTTGTTACATGGAAAACTTCAGCCCATAATCTAAATTTTAAATACAATAAATGGCCGTGACCATACATGCAAAAATGGCAATGTCCAATTGAAAACGGAAACCATTATCTGGTCAATATGGTTTAAAGGGTTTAAAGGGTTTAATTTCTATTGTTTTCTTATTGTTCTCCTGTAGTAAAAATGCACAAGCCACTTTTTTAGAGAAAACACAATTGAAAATACAATTAAAAATCAGTTTTTAAAATTATGAACATTGATATATCTAGATCATAAAAGTTCTAAGGGAACCGTTGGGTGATCGGGCATTGCCATCTTTGTATGAAGGGTCACTAGAAATTACGTTACAGGGAAGGAATTGTTACATTTACAGTTTCCTTCACTTACTCTGAAGCAGACATCCGCACTCGGTAAAAGTCATTTTAAAGGGAGGGCCCCGCCCTTGGCTAAATTTCCTTTGCTAATTATTAAGTTTAAAAGTGGTGCATTAGTTATGATTGATCTATCCCTTTTCAGACACTATTCTGAAGAATCACACTATAAATCAAAATGTTAAAACAAAAAATCCAATTTAATTTATGTATTAAGAACTTTATACATGTGTCAAAAAATGCATTGATTTTATAAATGGACACTGTACACTTGCATGTGTTTTGTTTTATCTTAAAAAGTCTTCAAAATTCTCAACACAATAATAATTTTTGTTTATTTTCAAAGATTTTCAAAAGATAAAAAATATTTTTCAATCCTTTTAAATACACAAAATCCTTACTGGGATCTTCATACATTCAACTTCAGAATTCTCAATATTCTTCTTGCTCAACTATAAGACGTGGTTTCAAAATCGTACAAGTTTTTACTTGTTCTAAAACAGGGTCAGATATTAACCAGATTTTTCTTTAGAATTTGTTAAATTATTAATGTGCCCTGTACATTTTAAGGATTATATATTTAAGCATACTAACAACAGGGTTCCAAATAGCAAATTGAAAACAGGGTTCAAAAAAAAACAAACCAAAATAAAAAAATACGGTTCCAAATAGTAAATTGATCATAGGTTTTTAAATAGCAAATTGACAACAGGGTTCCAAATAGCAAGTTAAAAACAGGGTTCCAGATAGAAAATTGACCATAGGTTTTCCAAATAGTAAATTTACAACAAGGTTCCAAATAAAAAAAAATGACAACAAGGTTTCAAATAGAAAAATGACAACAGGGTTTCAAATAAAAAAAAATGACAACAAGGTTTAAAATAGAAAATTGACAACAAGGTTCCAAATAAAAAAATTGACAAAAAGGTTTCAAATAGAAAATTGATAACAAGGTTTCAAATAGAAAATTGACAACAAATTTCCAAATAAAAAAATTGACAACAAGGTTTCAAATAGAAAATTGACAACAAGGTTTCAAATAAAAAAAATTGACAACAAAGTTTTTAAATAGCAATTGGAAAACAGGGTTTCTAATCGAAAATTTACAGGAGTGTCCCAAATAGCAAACTAACCACAGGGTTCCAAAAAGCAAATTGACAACAGAGTTCCCAATAGCAAATTAACAATAGGGTTCCAATTAGCAAATTAACAACAGGGTAGCAAAAAGCAAAACAACAACAGTGTCTTCAAATATATTTTAATTTGTTGCCGCTTACATGAACCCTTTCTTAAAACTACAATTTTGCCCCCAATACCAACCAGAGAAAGTCCAGAGTTATCCGCAAAAGATGAGAATTGTAAGACGACCTACAACTTTAAATATAACGATCTAAAGACTGAATTTGTCCCCTGCCTTGCCTTAAATGATAGACTGATAGATGATTTGGCAAAAAGCTTCCTGAATTATGGGGAATCAAGAATGGGCGTCTTTAAAGTCTCATTCGTTATGGTTAACCCTGTACGAGATGTTCACTGCTAACTAGCGAGAAGAAGAAGGCACGCACCTCTGCTTCTTTAGTAAAAGTAAATTCAACCTATATGAAGCATAAAGTCTGACCGCGTCAACCTTCTTGCACCGGCTAGTCCTGTCCATAGAGCTAGGTACAGCACAAACTGGGACCGGAAAGGTTGACCCTACTCGGAAATTCAAATGTACTACGGCTGCGACTACACGGGTACGACTTAGTGACTGCGTAGCTCATATAGTTTTAATTTCTGTACAAGTATGAGAAAATACTTCTTCAATAAGAAGAGTTCTGATTGAAAACATATAAAAGTTTTAATGTTACGTGGAATTTATTTTAGTTTGACGTGGATTATGATGGACTGGATAAAACAGTAGTTTAAAAGTGACCGGCGTGCTAAGCTTACCTAAGAAGATGACCGTCCCTTTTAGATCTTGTATTAGTAGCCCAAGGGTCATCAAACCTGTACCCCTTGATCTTTAGGGGACCACAGGAGCAGGATAGCTTAGTTCCCATCTTCTGGAAGAATCCCCTAAAGGGACTCTTCTTGATGGTAATCAGCCGACTCCCCAGCTTGTTCCGCGTGTCATGTTGACAACTAAAAAATAAAAATATTTAAGAAAATTTTTAAATCAAAATTAAAAATTCAAATTGATTGCTAAAATTATTCACTGAGAAACTTTACAGCAAACTTTGGTTGATGTTTTTATGTTGTTTAAAAATGATAATTTTTAGGCTTTGGCGGGTAGGGAAAGGGGGGGGGTAGGGGGATAGAAGGTAGGGAAAAGGGGCGTGGGTATGAAGAAGGACGGTAGGGAATGAAGGGGGAAGGAAGAGAAGGGGAGTTAAATCATATGTCCTCACTCCTCAACATGTATTTTAAACAACAACAAATTTTTCTTTTTTTTACGTGCAGTTCAGTCCAATGGGAAGACATTAATGTTAGNCTTTACTTTGTCCTTCTTTGGTCATTCAAGAAAAAACTCAGTTTTTTTAAAGATATACATCATATGTAGACTGCACTTAAACCTTTTAGTAGCCCTAGACATTTGAATTTTAGAACTACATTTCAGCTGGAAATGCAATTTTTAATTTTGCTTTTGTTTAAAACCAACCGTAAAAATTACTTATTTGTTATTATATCTTTATATTTATATTTATATTTATCAACCGCCGTAAACTCACATTTTCATGGCAAACAAATATATGTAAAAACGTAAAGTCAGCGATTGAGGGAAAAAATATTCACCTAAATATTATTATTTAAGACGTTAAATCAATTTTCAATTAAAGAAAAAAATCTCATTTTTTATTCTGAACTTGAGTCTTATTCTTTACTGTAGTCTTGACTAATTCTCAACCGCTCAGTTTTTTCTTCAAAAATATATCATTGCCTAATTTTCCCTAATATTTCCATTTATAATACATCAGAGATGTCATTATTCCTGCGTAGACTCATGCAACCTTCCCCCCCCCCCGCCCCCCATCTCTCCTGTCATGGTCTAAATTTGGATGTCTCCGTAATATTCAGGATGTTTCCGATATCATTTCGAATATTTCCTATATAATTTCGAATGTCTCCTATATAATTTCAAATGTCTCTAATAAGATTTAGTTTGTCTAAATCAGATGAAAAGGCTGAAAGATCTAAGAATGATTCTTTAATTGTATTCCAACAGTGATTTTCTCTAGATCCACATTTGCGTAGCTCCTCATTGTTAGAAGAAATTCAAACATTATGATTTATGTGTACACAGTACACAGTACACAGTACACACGTTGAGAACCAGAAACCGCGAAGTAGGAAGACGACAATAGATCAGTACTTGAGTGTATTTTATGTTATTTGATTACTAATTAAGGTCTGTTTGCACTGCACAATTTCTGCCTCTCATGTCATAACTAAGTATAAACTATTCCAGATATTCCACCTTTTTGCGGGTATTTAATAATAAGTGACCCTCCATGCAAAGATGGCAATGCTAGATTGCCATAGTTATCTGATCACTAGTGTGGAGGATATTGTCGTTTTTCTAGGCTTAAAAGCGTTTAACTCTAATAAGTCATGTATGTTTTCCTGCAAAAAAATGCCCAAGTCACTTTGGTCCCAATTTGAAAACAATAAATATTTTAAAAATCCTAAACAATTTCATAATTTATCAGACAAAGCTTGTAAGGGTACACTTGTGAATCCTTGTCATTTTTGCATCGAGGGTTGCTTAAAATTACGCGTACAGTCCCTTTAATGACCGAATGCTAATTGGGTTTCTATATTTATCTAGTAAAACCCTGGAAACCCATTGATATTTATTTTCTAAAATAGACTAAAAGTTAAGTTTCCTCTGAGTTAAAAGAAGTATGTCAGGTTAGTAAGGTTTGTATCTTGGAGGGAGCAAAAACATTTACTACAGAGACTTAAACCATACTGTTCTGGAATACAAGAAATAAATAGAGAAAACAAAACAATTTAATCATGGAAAATCAGGTCGTCGTTGTTACATTATCCATCCTTTATCTTGAATTCTTTAACTCTGTTTTAACAAGTACAACCAGTGTTTATAACTAGGGGTTTATCAAGGAATTTGTCCAGGGGGGTTGGGGACTCACGCTCACTCTAAATCATTGATTTCCATCATTCAAGCAGGATCGGATGAGCCCCAATACCCCCCCCCCCCTTTATTCGCATCTGCCCTAAACAAATACAGAAAATCTTTATAAAAACGAGACTGAGAAAGAAAGTGCATGGTTATTTTGACAGAAACTACACATTAATCTGGGGTTAAACATTCAAAATGAATTGAGTTTTTGCCACAAACTCAAATTTTCTAATCCCTATATCTGCGCAGCATGATGGTTTAAAACTTTGAAATTTCAAACTTAGATTATTTGATTCATAGTTTAAAATATCTAATGTCTACAATACATTGGATTGCAAAGATATAGGGATTCGAAAATCTAAGTTTGCGGGAAAAAAACTCAATTCCTTTGGATACTTTGAGTATTACCAGATAGGTGAACAATCTCTTTAATCCATAGAGCTCAGCTTTTGACTTGCTAAAACTGCAAATGCACAATTTCTTAATGTGCAAAAGTTTGATTTGAAATAAAAACTGAAACCCTAAATTGGCATGTGCATTGTGTATTTATATATGTAAAGTAGTAATCTCTGTTTGTTTGGATGTCCTTCCATAACTCAGGAACTCCTTGGCCGATTTGCCTCAAATTTTTATTGGGAACTTGGAAGAACCACAAGAATGTTCTTAGTTTTGAGATTCCAAGTTGAGTCCCCTGGGCAACGCAGGGTTCTCAAACTACTGCTAGTTCATAATAAATGTGCTATTTGTTAAAGTTCATATTATAATACATTATTCTATACGGTTGATATTAGATAGATAATTTGATAAGTATAATGTATTCTTATATAATTTATTATTCTATACAATACTGAGGCGAAAAGAAGGGAAAAGGGGGGGGGGTGATAATTATATCTTATAAGTTATACCCTGGGGGCGGAAACGTCATGTATGTGTGTCATTGAGTAATAACGAGAACCGAAGGCGTGTACTGTAGGAATATACAGTACATAAGAATCTCAGTATTTGTACAGTCTAGGAGAGTACATATGTTTACTGTTAATTATTTACTTAAAAATAAGTTTAATATACATGTAAAATATTATTTATATATTTAAGTCAACACTCTAAGCCAAATTTTCATGCAAAGAATATAATTTGATTAAAGTTTACAATAGTCGTTATTCAAGCTTAATTATAATTGACGACAATGTCTTATTCCCTGGTTATACTGTCCATACTACGTGTGTGTACTGTATAGTGTATTTGATATTACTTGTATACAAGCCTACCCCACAAAGGGTAAGTCTTCAGAGACGACTGACCTGATTTTTTAATTTAAATTTCTCCTAGTTTATCATTGAAACAATATATAAAAGATAAAAGACCAAATTTAATCATCAGATCGTGATATTCAACGATTTTTAGGTCGTCATTAATTTCTCATTTTTTGTTAAATGGGCAACCCTGGTTTTGAATCATAACTTTACAAAACTTTTTGCCCTAATCTCTGTCATTCTAAAACCACTTTCCTCACCATGTAATTCTTATCTTTCTCACTAGACTGCCCCAAAGCTTTATCCTATCCCCTACCTATATAGATTCAGACTTCTAAGAATTTTTTTTAAACTGGTTCGGCTTTCTATCCCTACTCTATTCTCTACCCTACTCCCTCCTATCCCCCTCCCCCTATCATCCTTCTCTCCCTACTCTATCCTCTACCCTACTCCCGCCTATCCGCCTCCCCCTATCATCCTTCTCTCCCTACTCTACCCTCTACCCTACTCCCTCCTATCCACCTCCCACCTATCATCCTTCTCTCCCTACTCTACCCTACTCCTTCCTATCCCCCTCCCTACCATCACCATCCTTCTCTTCTAACTCTACTCTCTACCGTACTAAATACCCTCTATCCTACCCCCTACCCTACTACCCATACCCTCTATAGTCTATAGTCTATACCGTCCTACCCCTACAATCCGCTCTATACCTACCCCCTCCCCCCTCTAGTCCAATATTTTTGCAAATCACACACTGCTAGAAAAACAGGTGAAAATGTGAGATATATCGAATGTTATATATTGACAGATTGATCTACCTAGGACATAATTCATGACAAATAAGAGACAAATCATTACAAATGATAAAGCAATCGTTATAAATACCAGCAGAACCATGATTACTCAGCTGAAACTCTAATTTGTTAATCCCTATATCTTTGCAACCCGAAGGTTAAAACTATTTATAATATTTCAAACTTTCGCAACTTTATATTTTAAAAAATCAAAGGTCTTAAACAACATGTTGCAATTGGATATAAGGATTAGAAAATATATGGCAAAGGAATTGAGTTTTTGTCACAAACTCAAATTGTCTAATCCCTTTATATTTACAATCTGATGATGTAAACCTTTGATATTTCAAATTTAGATTATTTGGTCTAACAGAATTCATATTTTGAAATATAAAAGGTCTACGACATTGGATAGCAAAGATATAGAGATTAGAAAAGTAGAGTTTGTGACAAAAACTCAATTCCTTTATTGAGAAATTACTATTCATTACTATTAATAAATTTTTTTTATAGCGTTCTTTGACAGGAGTATACTATATGTAATATTGTTTTTATATTCATGAATTGTACATATTTAAGATTAAAGTACAAATGTATATTGTTTCTATCTGGTACAATGTAAGCAAGTGTACAGTTTATAAAATTGTATAATAAAGTATATACTGTAGGACTATACTTCAATTTTATAAAGTTTAATCTCGCAGTACTGCCATGAAGTACAGTTTATAGAATGTGAATCTATTTGTAATATCATATTAATTATATTTGATTGTACGTGTTGATTGGTGTATTTGATGTATATATTGAATATAGATCTATATTATTGTATATAATATCCAGCAGTGAATAATTATATTATGTGTTTTATATTTAAAATATAAATCCAAGATGGCGGACGGTACATAAACTGTACACGAAGCTGTATTTCTACCTTTTATAATGTTGTGTGTACTGCTGTGTCCCCCCGGCCATTATATATCTATAGAAGGTGTTACCCCCCTTAGCCGAGCTTGCTACTCCACAGCTTAGCACTCACTGGAGCCTCTGGCCTCCCTGTAGCCTCATCCCGGCCCTAGATGCTTACTTTAGAGGAGGGACAGGTCGTCCTCCACTCACAAACCAATATCTCAGGTCGTCATTCATAACAGCTGATTTATACAAGATTCAAACAAACTGGTCCAGCTTCACGCATTGCAAGAAATAAGTATAAAAAATGTCGCAAACAATTTTGATGTGAAGTGTTTTTTTTCTTTGATGTTTTAATTTTAACTGAAATTGTTTTTACATTAATTAATAAGTCATTCTGCCAGGACTATGTAATATAAACAATATGTTTGCAACCAGATAACTTTTGCAATATTTGTAATATTTTGCAATAAAACTTTGCAGAATTAAATGAATTCAAACAACGTTGATAAATTTTGCAATAAGATGAATAAACATATAAAATATGAAAATCATACTTTCATTCAGATTTTAGAATATAGAGAATATTCTGGAATATAGAGAATATTCTGGAATATAGAGAATATTCTGGAATATAGAGAATATTCTGGAAAAAAGAGAATATCCTGGAATATAGAGAATATTCGGAATATAAAGAATATTCTGAAATAAAAAATGTTGTACATGTAAAGTGTAAACCTCAATGTTCTGCATAATGGTAACCACCAAAAAAGTTCTTTGAAGAAAAGTTTCGGGAATAAAGTTCGAAATTCTAATTTAGGAAAAAAAGTCCCAGGTATAAAAAACTCAGGACTTTATTTCCAGTGACATTTTGTTCTAGGACTTAATTTTTTTTATTTCTAGGTTTTTTTATTCCAGTAACTTTTTATCCTCCGACTTTCTGTATAATAGTATCATCATTAAAATAAGAAGATATTTATATATACTTTACACTCAGACACAGGATATTATGCAAGAGCATTTTTATATCCTTTCTGTCCCTCAAGTTGGGATAGAAAAAATCAAACACTGAAAACATGTGTGCTATTTTATTCAAAGCACACATAGTGCACTTTTGGTTTTAAATCTGGCACTTTTTGAAAGTGCTAAGCCCAAGTTTACTTAAAAGTCCTTAAATCTAGCTGTAGGTATAAAATGCCCCAATTTTATAAAATATAAGTATATAGTGTCAAGTTGTAAGGTAGTGAGATTCATGAAAAAAATAAAAAGTGAGATTTCAAAATCCAAAATGAGAATATAAAATTTCAACTTTTATTTTCAAACTGTGGTATTGGCGGTAGTGAGATTTGGATATAAAATTTCAACTTATATTTTTAAACTGTGGTATTGAGGGTAGTGAGATTTGAAAATCAAAAATCCAAATAAAAAATGTCAACTTTTATTTTCAAACTGTGGTATTGGCGGTAGTGAGATTTAAAAATCCAAAATGAGAATTTAAAATTTAAATTTTTATTTTCAAACTGTGGTATTGAGGGTAGTGAGATTTGAAAATCAAAAATCCAAATAAAAAATTTAAACTTTTATTTTCAAACTGTGGTATTGGCGGTTTTTGGATTTTTGATTTTCAAATCTCACTACCCTCAATACCACAGTTTAAAATTGTTAGTTGAAATTTTATATTCAAATCTCACTACCGCAAATACCACAGTTTGAAAATAAAAGTTTAAATTTCATAATCTCATTTTGGAATTTCAAATCTCACTACCGCCAAAACTTCTAGTTTAAAAGTATTTACATTTTCTAATTTCGAAAAAAAGGCATAATCTGAAAAGTCGCAAAAAAATGTACAAAAACCAGCTCTCAAAGCCTTCAATACCATTTTCTTTTAATTTGTACATAAAATTTTCGCTCAAAAAGAAGGCATTTTATACAAACACTAAATCTAGTGTCCCAACTTATTAGGCAAGTGCAAAACTTTATGAAAAATGGGGCGGATAAAATAACTTTCTGGAGATAAGAAATATCTAATAATTAGAGAGCTGTTAAATGGAAAGTTATTGCACCTTTATAGGATTTTTATTTTTGAGACTACCAAATGTCTCCAAAAGTTCCAGGTACAGCCTACAGGATTTTGAATTCGTTTGGAGAGGTAAAAAAAGGTTGCTACAGTCTTCTATCAATGAAAAACACCTGTAACGGTGTATGAATGGGTAGATGGAAACTAGGATCCTAAAGATTAATTTGAAATAGGTTGTGTTCATAGATGATGCCTGTTCTATACTCTTGATTGCCAAGATGGGTTTGATAAAGATTTATTGGTTGATGAACACGATCCTAGGAACAAGTTTAGGAGATCACAGTGCTGCTCAGTGCTCTATAGTTGACCTTGACTTGACCAATGATGGTATCCCACACATAATATGTTTATGGAGTCCGGGAACAAATTATCATCATTGGATCGAGTACAAATATTGAAGACCCCCTTTCATCGGAGCCACTACAATCTCATCATATTTTATTGGAGACCTTAGATTACGTTATCAAAGAACCCAGATTTTCATTTGAGACCTCAGAATTTCGTTTAAGATCTCAAATTTCTCATCAAAGACCTCAGATTTTCATTGGAGACCTCAGATTCTCATTGGAGACCTCAGATTTTCATTGGAGACCTCAGATTTTTGTTGAAAACCCCAAGCTTATGCTTGGAGGACCAAATTTTTCTTTACTGGAGACTTTAGATTTCTATTGGAGACTGCCAGATTTTCATTGAAGATTCACGATATTCATCGGATGCCTTAAATTTTTTGCCTCCAATGAAACTTGTCTGGTCTCCGATAAAGATCAAGGGTCTTAATGAAAGTTTTGTGGTCTCCAATGAAAATATTGAGGTCTCCGATGAGATGGCCGCGGGGGAATGCAGTGGAATCTGGGAGTCTCCAATGAGATTATCGCCAGGGTCTCCGACTCTTATTCATGTAATATTTGTTATATATGTAGATTTATATTTTACTTATATGCCCATGCCGCGTAACTCCACTTTGGGCTTCTGCCTCAGTGTTTTTGTAAACGAAGAACATCTAAAGCTTGAAAAGACTACGTAAAGTGTTCTGTCTGTACTGTTACTAATCTATGTTATTTGACTCCGCTGAAAATCTGGGGGTCTCAAATGAGATTACCTTAGGGGTCTCTGAAAGTACTTCAATGGAGTTTTGCTTATGCCACGTTGAATTATAAGACAGAGAGAGCATACGCGTAATTCAGGGTTATTCTGAACGAAAACCCCCTAAATCTTGAAAATACGACATCGAGTGTTCTGTCTGTATTGTTTTTAATCTATGTTTTTTCAATATTGTTATTAATCTATGTTATTTGTATACTGATGGACATCTAGTGTTCTATCTGTATTGTTATTAATCTATGCTATTTGTATACTGATGGGCATCTAGTGTTCTATCTGTTTTGTTATTAATCTATGTTATTAGTGTACTGATGGGCATCTAGTGTTCTATCTGTTTTGTTATTAATCTATGTTATTAGTATACTGATGGGCATCTAGTGTTCTATCTGTTTTGTTATTAATCTATGTTATTAGTGTACTGATGGGCATCTAGTGTTCTATCTGTTTTGTTATTAATCTATGTTATTAGTATACTGATGGGCATCTAGTGTTCTGTCTGTATTGTTATTAATCTATGTTATTAGCATACTAATGGGTATCTAGTGTTCTATCTGTATTGTTATTAATCTATGTTATTAGTATACTGATGGGCATCTAGTGTTCTATCTGTATTGTTATTAATATATGTTATTAGTATACTGATGGGTATCTAGTGCTCTGTCTGTATTGTTATTAATCTATGTTATTAGTATACTGATGTGCATCTAGTTTTCTATCTGTTTTATTATTAATTCATGTTATTTGTATACTGATGGGCATCTAGTGCTCTATCTGTATTGTTATTAATATATGTTATTAGTATACTGATGGGTATCTAGTGCTCTGTCTGTATTGTTATTAATATATGTTATTAGTATACTGATGGGTATCTTGTGTTTTATATATATTGTTATTAATCTATGCTATTAGTATGCTGATGGGCATCTAGGTTCTATCTGTATTGTTATTAATCTATGTTATTAGTATACTGATGGGCATCTAGTGTTCTATCTGTATTGTTATTAATCTATGTTAGTAGTATACTGATGGGCATCTAGTGTTCTGGGTGTATTGTTATTTATCTATATTATTAGTATGCTGATGGGCCTCTAGTGATCTGCTAGTAATTTTGTTAATTTATGTCATTTGAATACTGATGGGCATCTAGTGTTCTTTCTGTATTTTTATTATCTATGTTATTAGTATACTGATGGGCATCTAGTGTTTTATCTGTATTGTTATTAATCTATGTTATTAGTATACTGATGGGCATCTAGTGTTCTATCTGTTTTGTTATTGATCTATGTTATTTGTATACTAATGGGCATGTATTGTTCTGTCTGTATAGTTATTAATCTATGTTAGTAGTATACTGATGGGCATCTAGTGTTCTGGGTGTATTGTTATTTATCTATATTATTAGTATGCTGATGGGCCTCTAGTGATCTGCTAGTAATTTTGTTAATTTATGTCATTTGAATACTGATGGGCATCTAGTGTTCTTTCTGTATTTTTATTAATCTATGTTATTAGTATACTGATGGGCATCTAGTGCGCTATCTGTATTGTTATTAATATATGTTATTAGTATACTGATGGGCATCTAGTGTTCTTTCTGTGTTGTTATTAATCTATGTTTTAATCTATGTATTAATCTATGTATATACTTTTATTAATGCATTAAGAAAGACGACATTTACATAAAACAGTTACACGATTATGAAGTTTAACTAATTCTTATTAAAAAATCCCCATTTCTCTCTAACCTCTAATCCAATCCACATAAAATATCAATTAGAATGAAAAATAATTAAATATATTTAAAAAATGTTCTACAATAATACCCTGTTTCAGTTTGACAATAAAAGAGAAATAAATTAGATGAATTTAATGTTGAATTCTTCCAACAATACAAAATGTTGTCAAAACAACTGAAGAAAAGGAAAAATAAAAAAAAACTATCAGATCTAAACTAAAATAAAGCTGAGAAAGTAAAATCTTGAATGTACCCTCTTTCATTTGTTCCTGGGGGCAAAACTAGTTGGCTCGATGTTGTAGAGGGAGGCTTAAAGAGACTGTCAACGCATGTCAGATTCACAACAGTATCCGTTACACCTTTATATGAGCTCTTATCTTTTCATTCTTTGTCTCTTCTGCCTGATTAGAAACCATAATTGGAAATCATTAATTTGAACAAGGATATCTTGCTAATTTCTGTTGATACGGCGGGGGTCTAAGGATACCATTGTGAATCGGAAATGCCCTGCTGTAAATGACTGTCACTTTAAACAAGATCGACAGTACATTTTTTGAAAAATCTGTCCAAGGAACGTTTTCTTTGTGCTAATGTTAATTTATGAAATCAGAAAGATTTGTCTTTACAAATGTTTTAAATATTAAACGATTTTAGGCCATTCAACATTTAGAAACATATTTTTGTTCATTAAGAGTTAACATTTTCTTTTTTAATAGTCGGCGGTAATTGATCGCCCACTGAAGAAGCGGTTTTATTGGCGGTAGGTTCCAAATTCTCAGATTTCACAGATTTTTCTGGGTTAACGGGTCCACGGGAGTCTGGGGACGAATCCCTGTGAACAATCGGTAGGTTAGAGTCTACGGAGTGAACTATTGAGGTTTGGTTTGGTTTGGCGCCACCTCCAGCTAATCGACTCAGCTGTTTCAAGGTATCTTGAATTGGATCCAACTCGCTAGGTCTTCCTAAATAAAACAATCACATTAATCTATATAATGAAGCTCTTCACTCATATACATTTATTTGAATATTTATATGTTAGCTATAGCTGGTCAAACTGCTGGACCGATTTGGCTGACATTTTTAGAGGAAACCCATGAGTACCTTGGGGGAAAAATAGGCTAAAAAATTTGATTTTTTTTTCAAAAATCGATGTTTTTTTCAAATGTCAATTTATTTTTTTCAAAATTTTTTTATTTCCATGGGCAACGCCGGGCACGTCAGCTAGTTTTACAAAAATTTGACACTTCATAGAGAGGCCAATGCAAATATTTTACCAGATATTCGCCCCATTGTCACATTTATTTAATAAAGAAAAACAATAAATATCAAAAATCATGAGAAATTTTTTTTTTTTGTAAACAAGGGTTTTTTAATATGATAAACTATTTTCTGAGTTATCCAAAGACGTCAAGTTACGTGACAGTTTAAACAAACCCTGCCTCCCTCTTTCCTTTCTTTGTTCTTCTCCCATTGACACGAATTACCTTGTCGTTGTCGACTTAAACTGAGTCCTACTCCTAGCTGAGCCTAAAACAATTTTTACAATTTTTTAAAGGATCTTTTAATTATGGGGGATGAAAAATAAACAAAAGAATAACTACTAAATCCTGATTTAAAAAAAAACAAGCTTATGTATTTTTTACAAAACTAAAAATGGAAAAAAAGCATGGAAAAAAGTTCTGACTGGTCATTTTTAAAATCTGGTCATTATCGAATAAATTTACCTTCAATTCTTGGCTAGGATGTGAAAAATTCATTTGTCGGTTGATAATATGATTCTGATACACCTAAACAAATTTTTAATAAAACTTTTTGGAAATTTTCCCAGTTAAATAAATTACCCTGATGGGACAGTATGTGACTAAATTGTATCTAAATTAACCTGATTGGACGGTAAGTGGTTAAATATATTTAAATTAACCTAATTGGACAATATGTGATTAACCTGATTGGACAGTATGTGGTAAATTGTATCTAAATTAACCTGATTGGACATTATGTTGTTAAATATATCTTAATTAACCTGAGTGGACAGTATATGGTTAAATATAATTAAATTAACATGATAGGAAAATATGTGGTTGAATATATCTAAATTAACCTGATTGGTCAGTATGTGGTTAAATATATTTATATTAACCTGATTGAACATTATGTGGATAAAAATATTTATACAATATGTGGCTAAATATATCTAAATTAACCTGATTGGACAGTATGTGGTAATTTTATTAAAATTAACCTTATTGGACAGTATGTGGTAAATTTTATTAAAATTAACCTGATTGGACGGTATGTGGTTATAGGGTTGGTTTCTTGTTGTACACTGTGTGCGCGGTATTGTATTACTGGATTGAGTTCGCGGCATTCCGCTTCG